AGGAGACTGAAAGTTGATGTCCCATGTGAAAAGATGGTCTTTATAAGCAATTAGAAGACACTCTACGGAGGTTCTAGGACGAGAGGAAATGGGCTTAAGCTGCGCCAGGGGAGGTTTAGGTTGGAAATTAGGAAAAATTTCTTTACGGAAAGGGTGGTCAAGAATTGGAACAGGCTGCCTAGAGAGGTGGTGGAGTCACCACCCCTGGAAGCGTTCAAAAAACGGGTAGATGTGGCACTTCGGGACATGGTTTAGTCTAGTCTACCCTTGATTGGCTTAGAGTGGACTTGGTAGTGTAGGTCAATGGTTGGACTGGATGATCTTAAAGGTCTTTTCCAACCTAAATGATTCTATGATTCTATGATTCTATTCTAGAAAATAATTTCTACATTTTAATCATTTAGGAAGCCAAAATGAGAACCCAAACAAACCTTGAGAAGATGCAACCAGCATGTTGCTGTGGCTGCTGCTGGGCTTTTGGGAGCTGTTTTCCTGCTAGGACACCCCATATTTGGGTTATACATCTCAAAGACAGAGGAAAAATGGAAGACAGTTTTAATGTAATAGAAGGTTATTTGGACACCATGTCCAAAGTATGACCAGATGGATGATATTTTTGTTGTGATTATTCTTGTTCTCATTATAAGGTTAAACTTCTCATCAAATCCTGAAGAAATCTTGTGGACTGACAAGCAGAGACTTCTCCACCACTATGAGTAGAGCAAGGAATGGGGTAAGGTAAAGCCCTTAATGAAAGTGTTGCAGTGACTGGCATCAATACATGTATCACACAATAAAGATTAATTAATTAAGTTCAAGGTGGACCTTTCTCAGCCTCACACCTCTTCTCCCAGATTTTTGCACCTGTGCTGACTTTTATTGTTCAGCTTTTCTTTCTGATCCTTTCACCATATGTGTCAGCTACAGGCATGTGTCTCCTGGCTCTCCGAGCTGGCAGAGTATCTGACTTGCATCTCAGTAATCAAAGGAGGTTTAGAAGCTATCAGGTGATCTCACTCCTTCGAAACCCTCTCAATGACAGTGCCACAAATTGGTAGCTTTCAGGAAGACGGCTGTTGCCAGTGTAAGCTTTGATAATAGAAATGGCAGCTGAAATTTAAACTTAGACATTTCTATTACTCAGAGGAAAATGTGCGGTCACAGATGGGTTTCTCATCATCTGAAATTTCAGACTGCTGTGTGTAACACTGTGGGGCCCATTTCTCATAGCCACAATGGCTTACTTTAGAGTAGTTTTGTGACTTTCCAGGAAAAGCCCAGCATTGGTACCGGAGCTGTAAGCTGAGCTGATCATCACCCTAAAATACCCCATTGGGATCAACAACTTTGTGGTTCTGCTTGAGACCAGCCTCCCATCATGACAGATGGGTCTGGACTGATGCAAGCACACGATGAACAGAATATGGTCCAGGATCTTCAGCTGATAGAGAAAGTGTAAAGGATGTGTAAGCATTGTCTAGATTTACCCGGCCATGCACTTGAGAGGCACACATACATGCACTCCCTCTTTACGCATCTCTTTTTGCCTTTTCTCCCATGCTATTGCATCACAATCTACATGCATGAGGAGGAAGGCAGGTTCTGGCAATGTTGCCAAAGTGCTGCTAAATTCCAGGTCAGCCAACAACTTTAAAGTGAAGCAGGGTACATTGTCTTCTCCTGAGAAGTAAATACGCATACACATTCTCTTTGTACATGCTAAAATATTTAAATATGTAAAATTATGGATTATAATTAGGGGAAAGTTAGAATAGATTTGAATGTTTAGCGTACCCTTGGTAGTTCTTGTTTTGTTTCTGTATGATGCCCTCCACACAAAAAGATACTTCACTGTAATTGTGCCCTTCTAGTGCAATCATGTAAATTTTTCTCTTGTTCATGTTATTCTTCCTTTGCGAGCTCTGCTGTGGTTATCATGGCCATCCTGGAGGGAAGGAGGTAATGACCCCCATGGAGTTGGGGCTCGCAGGATTAAGCTTCTGGGAGTGAGTGGGGAAGTTTATTCCCCAGTCCCACAGGGCTGCCATTGATACAAAGGTTAGCAAGCTGTAATGTTCACAACCCTACATCCAGGGAACTGGCATTTCATACTGCCCTCCAGGTGCAATAATACCTTCTGCAGTAACCTACACGTTGATCAAGAGAGTTTTTTGTGGGTCCAGGGATCATATGTCTTTGGAATGGGCACCATTAAAAATGACAGATCTTTGAATTGTTTGGGATCTGCTTTCTCATGGCTCTGCTCCTTATGGAGACATTTACAGCTGTACAAATTTATTAGGGTTTTGCAGGAAAGCAAATGCAAAGCTCATTACACAATTATAGTTTCTGCTGTTGAGCTTCTTCCTATTTTTGTTTATTTATTATGCCAATGTATTTTGACTCTTTGAGTTGCAACCCCCTCACATGCACACATTTTCCTCTCTAGAAATTTGATAAAATTGTTTGCTGGATATATGAACTCATTTCTTGTTTGGACCTTTTCAGCAGTAGACCCCTCAGGCCTGTGGGCAAAGGTTGAAAACCATTGATCAGGGCTATGCACAGGGGAACAGCAGTGACCTGCAGCAGCTGTTTGTCAAAGCCTGGAAAACACTAGTGACAAAGCTAATTAATATATTTCTCAATTCCATGCCTTCTATGTAATGCACATGCCAGCAGTGAACTGTATTATTACACTGCAATCCAAATATGTTGTGGTAATGTGACAATGTTACTCTAATGTTTATTGAAAATTTCATTAAGAGATGCAGTGTGAAAACAGTATTTTGGTTTGCTTCTCCTGCTGGGTGTTGTTTCCTCTTATTTTGTTTCACTCTGAATCCTCAATCTTTATATTACATATAATAATGTTTCAATATTATTGAAACAATTTGAAGAAGCTTTCTTAATATTTTCAGATCAACTTTTATTCATAATATTCCATTTCACTAAAATGCCTATTTTTCTACATCAGTTCTCTCCCTCATGCCTCTAATCTCACTAAAAGTCTAATTCCACATTTACTTGCTGTACAGCATAAAATGAATGGCTACCTGTTTCATCTACTAATATACACACCAGCACCTACACGGACACATTGTGCAGCTAAATAGAAATCCGCATTTCTATACTTTTAAAGGTACAGTAAGATGAAAAATCCCAACCCCTCTATGCTGGAGTTTAGCTTGCAATCGTGAACGTTGCTATCTATCTTGAGGAAGGTGGAATACAGTAATGCAACATACCCACATGTGCATGCACACACACACATGCTTCCAGACCTCGTGGACACTTATGTGCAAAGTTTCAATAAGTTTTTGCTTTGCACTGTGAAGGAAAAATCTGAGAGTTTTTAAGATTGTGCTGTCTCTCAGATGTGGCAGAAAGATGTGGATATCTTTAAGGCTAGAAAGAAAAAAAAAAAACCCAGCCAGCCAAAATGTCAGAATTAAACACATGTATGTATACACTATTAAACACATTTATACTAGTCAGTGTTTGGAGATTGGCTAATACTAAGAAACCCATCTACTATATTCAGGCAGAAAGGTGTGGATATCTTTAAGGCTAGAAAGAAAAAAAAAAACCCCAGCCAGCCAAAATGTCAGAATTAAACACATGTATACACTATTAAACACATTTATACTAGTCAGTGTTTGGAGATTGGCTAATACTAAGAAACCCATCTACTATATTCATATTTCAATTTCTAAGTGTACTCTGCTTGTAGGTTTAAATAATACAACGCTGGGAACAGAAAAGGAGTTCAAAGAAAAAACCAGATATTATTCATGCTACCCACACTGATCTTCAGGTCATTTCAATAAAGGTATTCTTTATAAAAGATACAAAAAAGTCCCTAGAAGTGTTTACCAAAAATTGCAGACTTCTTTTTTTGTTACCTCGGTGTCTATTTGGACAGTGGGACATGATGATGAAGTCTTCTGACCCCTTGCCCTTCAGTTCCCCAAGGGGATGGTCAATATGTAAGACTTGCTGGTGAGCAGATGCACTAACACTGTGAAGATTTCCTCAATGAAGCAGGAGAAATTAAAGTTTAGCAGCCAATTTGTGCCCACCTCCTGACATAGAGTCCTTCCTTGGGGCTTTTTTAGGACAGCCCTTCTCTAAGGACAGTTTTGCTTCAAAACTTCCTCGCCCTCAACCGAGAGATCAGGGATCCCTCCTGACAGCTGGATCTGAAACAGGAGCTTTGATCCAGTGCCTGCAGAACTCCATGGGTCTCAGCTGGCATCAGAGGATGCTGGATCAGCGCTGGAGGGTCTGGAAAATATTACCTAGATATGGTGTGTGGAGCCAAGAGATAAAGCTGATAGAAAAGGGGAGAGGAGGAGAAGGAAAGAAGAGCATTCCTGTGAAGATTTTTCTTCTCCATTTTACAACCAAACCATACAGAATTTTTCAGCCTTTACTACTGGATGCTCTGGGGAATATGAAAATCTGCCATGTCACAGCAAAGAACAGGCAAATAACTATTTTGAGTTATACATACGATTACATATCTTCTCTCTTTCTTTGGTGCCTTGTCATATCAGCCTCTGCCTCACTGTATTTTTAAGAGAACTACCTGACCCTTGATTCTTGCTGCACAAATCAAACCAAGCCATTACCCATTTTTGCACACTGAGAAAATCCCCTGTCGTAGTCAGAGGACCTAAGGTTTGTTCTGTAACATTCCCATGATTCTGCTGAAAGAAAAAAAAAAGAACAGTCTCCTGTGTGAGAAAGGGTTTAATTGCTCTGGTTAGAAGAATTAATCTAGACAAGCACAAAGAATACAAAGAAAGGGAATGCCTCTTGTTGGAGACTGAATTTTGCTCTTGGATATGCACCTGTAACTTCTTCTGAAGTTAACAACATATCAAAGGCAGGATTAGGCCATAGGACTTTTGCATCATGAGCCATGGATCCAGAGCAAGGGTGGGAATGAAGGCCCTCTTAATAAGCTGCAACAAGCAAATATTTTAGTTGCCTACCTGCTCCATTTCAGTAAAGGTGCTCTGCTCCTCGTCTTCCTCCTCGATATCTGACTCTCCCACAGCAATAGGAACACAAATGGACAGGTCAGGATTGGTCATAAAATCATCATTGTCTGTAATTCCTAGGTGTTTCTCCCCATTTTTATTCATCCCATCCTCAGTGTGGTTCTCTTTGTGATTCTCCATGTCTCTGCCAAGCTCAGCAGTTGTATGACTGTTCACACAATTGTTAAGGGCACCTGTATTCTGGGCAGCAAGCTTCATCATTGCCTTCTTTTCAGCCGTCGTCTTGGGGTGCCGGAGGACATTGCAACAAAAATCCCATGTCGTGTGTTTCACGTACTGAAGACCCCTGTTGATCCGAGCAAAAGCAAGCTGCAGGTTGTTCATCTCCCCATCGTCATCTGGTGCCGAGAGGTTGTCAGCACTGAAAGAGCTTAGCAGCAAGGCAAGGAACAGGTTGAGCACCTGAAACCAATAAAATTAAAAGGAAATCAATGATTAATTGTGGAGGACAAATGTTTGGTCCTGGAAGCAGGAGAGTCTGAGTCTCATCTAATCTGTGCTACCATAACACCACTAGTGTTCATGGAACTACCTCTAATTATAGGTGATTTCAGTAGGAAAAGGAGGAGTACAGACATTTCCAAACACCTTAATTTCAGGTGCAGATATTTAGCATGGACAATAACACACTCTGACATTCCCTTTCCCACTCCAACACCTCAAAACATTAAAAAGAAATGGCAAAGATCAGAAACAGAATATGAGATAAAATTTTCATTGGAAGCTACATAGTATAAGTATTCTCATAAGGGGTGAATTAAAATTAAAAAATTAATTTCCTGTAATTGCCAGTATTCCATCTTGGAGAAAATCACTAATTGCAACACTTATTGAAATCCAGAAAGGTACTGCTTACATGTAGAAAAAGATTATAGGAAGAATGTTTTAGGACCTTTTTGGTTTTTACTCAGTGTGAATATTGTTATTTATATTTCATAGTCTATAATGATATATATATATACATGGCACTTAAACCAAATAGTATATTCAGAAACATTTCTAAACATTTGTATGTATTTTCACAGATAGTCTTGATTTAAATATCCTCTGGGCCATGAAGAAAATCTATTGTGACTGTGAATAAACACGTAAGAGGTCATATGGTTTCAAAACCTTTTCCCTCCAGGCAAAACCAAGTCATCACGCTCAGGATTAATGTGGCTAAATCTGAGCAGGGTTCACCCCAAAAGCAGGCTTGGGCCTGGAAATGCTGCTACTAGTCAAGAAAAAAAATATCTGAAGATTTTCACAGATGCATAAGAAGATCTAAACTTGACTGGAGACCGTAAGTTGGCTTCTTCTTGTTCTTGCAACTTCAGAACTGTCTACCTTTGCTGGAAGTGCACTGCAAGATTAGACACAACTACACATTTGGGTGACATATTTGATGATTTAAACCTCTTTTTACTTTCTAGGGGGTTTTTTTGGGGGGTTTTTTTCCCCAATATATACAAATATATTCAACAAATAAAACTGATTTCTTCTAGAAGGGTATTCCCAGTAATACATCTTGCAGGCTGATCACCAGCTGCTGTGTGTGGGACATTACACCTGCTTGTGGTCCAAGAAGGAATGAATTACAGCTTTTTGTGCCGGATTGACAAGGGCATGAAGCTCACACCAGAGGCAGATGCCTGGGATGATGGGAATAAGGCAAAGGTGACTCAAACCAATATCAGCTAAAATATATTCACCCAAAATAAACTAGGACCAAATTGCCTGGTATCAACTCATCTGCTGCCTGTACAAGGTGGGTGAGTGCCAGCTCTGTGGCACTGCAAGGGAGAGATCAGTGCTGCAGCACTTCTGCCATTTTAGCAATAAAATGGACTTAGTGAAGATATTTTCTCTGTGATCTCTTAATGCTACCAGAAATACCTGTAAGTCCCCTGGATTCTGTCTTTCTGATAGTGTTTTAAATTGATAAAGTCTACTAGACCAAAATAAACAGTATAAACAGTACTGGGACTTACCAAAGAGCAACAAGCTTTTGCTATCATCCCCCCACCTTGTTCCCCCTTCTTTCAAATATTCAGAATATATGAGCTGGAATTTTGAAAACTAGCTTGGTCTTAATCACTCTGGTGACACTGCATATGAAGTGTCCTGTCAGTACTGTTTTGTAAAGTACTCTTTGCAATCACCGTGATTATAAATGAAAGCAGTTGGTAGCACAGCAGATGCCCATGTCCATTATGAACTGCTGAATAAACTATTGCTGCACTGAGCACTACCCTGCTCTAATGTAAAGTGAGATTAAAGCTAATTGTTTCTTAGCTGGTCCATCATACTGGAGTGTCACTGACGGCTTGTGTGGGTCTCCTCTTAATCACTGTGGCAGTCTGGTATGAATCAATCTTTCATTATATATCCTACTCAGAGATATTGCAAGTGATGTTGTCTGATAGGTAGTGGAAAATGAGAGTACTGGATATACTGCCAAGCAGGTGGGAGTCCATCAGCAAAGGAGACATTGGCAGAATCACTTTAGCCATCTTCAACAATATTTGATAGAGGAACGAGGTCTCAGAGATAACCACATTGCTACAAGTATCCTGAAAATAAGCATGTGGGTAAAGAAGAGATACTGCCCAGGCCACCGGTGCAGACAAAGCTTGGAAAGCCACATCATGAGTCTCCTTCCCAGTGGCAACTTAGGGACATGGGAAGGAGCTGGAGCAAGGGAGGGGATAAAGAAATCCAGAATAAAAATCCTTTGGATTTTATAGGTTCAATTCAGTTGTCTTAACAGAGGTGTCTACTGTTGCCTGAGGTTATCTGAGACAGCTGCAGGTTTTGTCTAACCAGGACACGATGGGATGTTGCAACAGGCACCAGACTGGCGGTGTTTAGGGAACTGAATCATGCTGCAAGGATGGCAGCTGCCTCCAGACTCAGACACCAAAGCCTGAGGGTCTACCAGGGCACCTAAGCCCTGTTTCAATCAAAAGAGGTTCATCATATAGACAGTGGAGCCTGACCAAATACAGGTGACCATGTTCGGGCTGCATGCAGCTGCCAATATGTAGTCATCTAGCGCCAACTGACCCTAGCACGCCCAAGTCATCCTGAGGCAACTGGCTGACATGACACACTATTATAGGAGATCTGTGTCTAGTTGGAGGCCAGGATGGATATCTTACAGTACCCCGAGTAGCGTAAGACACAACTGAGTCAAGCCCTAGATCTCTGCAGACTGTAGTGGTAGCTCAGACATCTTCTCCATACATGAATACCTCCATGTATGCACCCAAATTTTGTTACCTGAAGCTGAATTTCATCCTATACTTCATTAATTCTGCTGTTCACAGAATAACTTTTTTGAAATGCCTTGTTTTATTTTTCCATATTTATTTTGTATGTCAAACTACAGTTACGTAAGTTTATCCAGATACACCTGCAGGTGTATATAATAGGTGGTAATGTTCTTACTGTTGTTATTTACCATGGATTATTAAGGCAATGTTGTTTGCTTCCCAGAAATGCAGCTGACATTTTGCACAAAGAGCTATTTGTACTTCATGCTTTTAGCCAAAAATAAATCTCAAGTATCACTCCCTCCTTCCTTTATGAGCAGGTAACCTCAGAGGTGTATTGCTGGGCATTCAAATAGAGTGAACTGCTGTATAAGCACTTTATGTTTACTTATTCCCCCCATTTCACTGTACACTGCATTTTCCAGAAAAATATATGCTCAACCCATGACACACCACATTTCCTGTAAAAGGTTACTAATAATATCCAGTCCTCTTGGTGGCTAACACAATGCTTTCAGTTTAAGTAAAAGCAAACTAAAGACTAATTCAGTTTTCAAAAGCAATTGCAGATTTGTATGTCCATAAGGATCCCCTTAAAAAGACGTCTGCTTTCCAATGACACCAAGCAGCCAGTCTCTGAAAACAGGTCACTTTTTTGGTCTTTGAGGTTAGGAATCAAATGACAGATGCATTCAAAGAAACCCGAACTCCTTTAGCATAATGATGTTAAGCATTTACCCTAATGACAATACAGCCTACTTTCATAGGCTTTCTCACTTTTAATGCCTTTCCAAAGCTAGTGACTCTGGTTATGCCATTATAAGGCACAAAGGATCAGATTCATCCAGCCTAATGTCAGCTGCCTCCCTGAGGTACTTAAGCTGGAGGAGTTTTCCTAGGATGTCTGTGGATGATGGAGACAGTCTGGCATCCCAGGAGATGCTGAAGAGCTGAACCATCTCTGGTGGTGTCTATTGAAGCCTAGGCTACCTTGGGTTTAGTATCACACAGCTATATTCAAGTTAGGGCACTTACCAATGCAGACCAAATAACTGACACAGAATCATAGAACATCTCAGGTTGGAAGGGACCCATAAGGATCATCAAGTCCAACTCGCTGCTCCTTGCAGGACTACCTAAAACTAAACCATATGACTAAGAGCATTGTCCATGACTTGTCAAACCCAGACAGGCGTCCAGAGAGTCCTTCTTGGTGTCAGTCTGCTACTGCATGCTCCAGGCCAGTGGTGGCCAAGCTTTATAACCAGGTGAGGGGGAGACCACAGGATGCTTCAGCCCCATCCTGAGCAGAGCGGCAACACAAAGGTAGCAAACCTGGCATTGCACAAAGTGCTGCACCAATTCTGCAGTCACAGCAAGTGAAGAGCATAGAGGCATGAAGCCATGAAGCTAATTCCTAGCTCCCCAGCCATGGGGAGAAAGCAGGCTGCTGGAAGGACCCCTCCTTCCCAAGGAGCCCTGGGCAGGGGCTGCTGGTGGAGGCTGGGAGCCACATATACTGCCGTGGTGGGTTGCAATCTGAACACCTCAGCTCCATCACCTCCTTTTGTTTTGGCCATCACAATACAAAAACAGACAGTGTAATTTCATATGACACTGTCTGATCAAACCATCTTTGAAAATACCTGTCTGCAAACTCTGTTGCTGAAGTTAAAATACTTTTGGAGCAAAAGCCTGTGACTGCTCCCTCATTTCCCTTCCATTCTTGTATTTACCTTGATTTGGCAAAAATGGAGGGATATAACCCTTTATGTATTTAACCTTCCACCTTCCATTCAGTCAAACAGTGACCAGCCCCTCCAATCCTCCTGCACTCCTGTGAGTTGATTCAGCAATATGTTCACTGCCCTGCACTCTTACTGAGGTCACGCACTGTGCTGAATATAGGCTGAACACCCACTGGAAATTCTAAGGCCATTTCTTAGCAGATTCTGTATTTCATTTAGCTAGGAGTGAGAATGATGTTGCACCTGCACAAGTTCAATGGCAGGGTTAAGCCATCTCCAAAGTGACATCCTCAGCCACTGGTCTTGTTTGACTGCAGAAGATCTAATATGAGTTCACCCACGTGGCTTTTCCTGTAGAGGGGTTTGTCTTGACCACACACTGCCAACAAAACAAGGG